GTATGGGTCACAGCTGATACATAAGAGAAGATGTGGGAAGATCTAATCCAAATGAAAGAGCACCATGGATGCAGCTGCTTCAAAGAAAACTCAGTCTCTCTCTGCAGGTTTTAGAGAACTAGAGTTTTTAGGTTCTTACTGAAAAACAGGTTTGCAATAATGCCACTTAATAAATTCATTGACTCAAATTCCTTTGCTTGCTATTCGCAAGCTCTTACTGCATGTGTACTTCCAGAGAGGAGCAGACCTTCAGCTGGGTGAAATCATGGGCTTTCAACCTGGTAAAGGACCCACTCACATCAATGCAGCCACATCTATACCTTTGCATCAGACATCTATACCTTTTTCTGTAAGACCAAGCTCTTTGTTTACAAATGAATGAGATTTGTGATCCAAAAATACTTTGCCTTTATGGCTGATATAAAGATTTGGACTATTTCTTTTTGGACATCTATTGTCCAGCTGTCAGCCCAGGTGATCTGCCGAGTTCAAAAGATACATTTGGGGCATCAACTAACTGCTGTTTCTGGTGCTGCCCTGGACTGTTAATGTTACTAGTGTGTTGTGTTTCTTTCCAGCATTAAATCCCTGGTTCCCTTCACTGATTTCAACTGTGCCTGTCGATCTTTTCCAACTCCACGCTTCCCTTCCCTTAACAGAAGTGGGAATTAGTGCTGTGCTACTCACAAGCACATTCAGCTTCCAACCAGTAACTATGGGAGGCAGTTCTTGCCCTGCCTTCACACATTTTTTTTTTCTGTGTTACCTTCTCCCTCCATTTTCTATCCTAAAATCACCCTGGGACTATAGGCAGGCCAGGACCAGAATGGCTGTAGTTTATGAGAGAAGCAAGTGCAAGAAACATGTAGGTCTAATTGGGCATTGTCACCACATCCTTCTTCAGACATGCTACAGATTACCACAGAATTATAGCAAAAAAAAAAAAAAAAAAAAAAAGTTAAGAAGGTTACTTAATTCAGCCACTGCCCAGAGGCAGATTTGGACATGACTAAACTACTCCTGACAGACATACTTCTTAAAGCACCAGACACCTTTCCATTTTATCACTTTTGGGTACTAGCCTCTCGTGGGAGGTCAAAAATACAAGGCGAGGTGTGTGACCTCAGAGAGATGGCTTCAAGCATGATTGCTGTTGTCAGGTTCTCCACTACGAATGTCAGACAATCAGTTCTCAAGTGTCTTTTTCTTTTTCTGCAGAAGATAATGAAAACTGTAGTGCAGCAGCACCACAACTCACAGATGATTAACTCTGAGCACTCAAAAACAGCATCTGTCCTCCTTCTACAGAGAACAAACAGCCTTTCAGACCATGCTCTTCTCCTTACCATCTCAAAGTATCTCTCTGCAAAAGGCAGGGAAATTTGCTTTACCAAAGAGGCTGGCTTGATGCAGGCAGGTTTCTGCTGAAGAGCCTTGCAGTTGGAACTCAGCCTTCGCCTGCCTGTGACCTGTGCTGAACAGGGTTCACACATTGTCCAAATCTGTGCAAAAGATTTCTCACCTGAGAGCTTTCCTGCTTGCATAACCTTTGCCTTTCTCAATATAGAAAAAGAAACTAGCACAAAGAAAACAAATCTTCTGTTGAAAAATGTTAGCACTGTTAAACAAATGCTTTTGACAGATTGAAAGATTTGTTTTCCTACTATATCATCTTAATCACCACCTTTTCTGGATCTTCAAATAGACACACGTAAATCTCGTGTAGATAATGCCACAGAAAATATACAGGACATATTTAGCATAAGGACAGCTTTAAAAAGAAATGTCAGAATTTAGAAACCTACAAAACTACTTCTTTAAAAGAAATGGTCTTATTTTTAATTTTGGAATGCTTAAATGTAAAGTAATAGAGTCTTGGTATTACAGGTTTGAACAGAAGGACATATCCTATGTTTGTTTGACTACAGACAGCCATTAATGCTAAACAAAGTATCACAGAATCACAGAATGGTTAAGATTGGAAGGGACCTCTAGAGATCATCTAGTCCAACCCCTCTGTTCAAGCAGGGACACCTAGAGCATGTGGCACAAGGTGGCATCCAGGTGGGTTTGGAAGATCTTCCGGAGAAGGAGAATCCACAATCTCTCTGGGCAGCCTGTTCCAGGGCCCTGGCACCCTCACAGGAACGAAGTTCTTCTTCATATGGAGATTAAACTTCCTGTGTTTCAACTTGTACCCATTACCCCTTATCCTGTCACTGGCCACCACGGAGAAGAGTTTGGCCCCATCCTCCCTACATTCTCCCCTCAGGAACTTCTACATGTTGATCAGATCCCCTCTCAAGCCTTCTCTTCTCCAGACTAAACAGGCCCATCTCACTTAGTCTTTCCTCATATGATAGATGCTCCAGTCCCTTAATCACCTTCATGTCCCAGTGCTGGACCCTCTCTAGAAGCTCCACGTCCCTCTTGTACAGGGGAGCTCAGAACTGCACACAATACTCCACGTGTGGCCTCACCAGAGCTAAGGGGCAGGATCCCCTCCCTCGACCTGCTGGCAACGCTCCTCCTGATGCAGCCACGATCCCATTGGATTTCTTGTCCACAAGGGCACATTGCTGCCTCATGGTTAACCTATTGTCAACCAGGGCTCCCAAATCCCTCTCTGCGGAGCTGCCCTGGACACCGCTGCTTCACACTCAGTGTGGCATCCAAGACACCTACAGCTCCATTTCAGCAGGGCTGCTACTCAGACAGTCATCTCCTGGACTGTACCAGTTCATGCTGTTTTTTTCACCATACAAGGTGCAGGACTTTGCGCCTTGATGAGTTTTTGATGATTTTGCTTAGCCTGGTCCTCACACATTGCAAGCTGTCTCTGCACTGAAACTCTGCCATTCATAATGTCAGCCAGTTCCTTAGAACCATTCTCAGGACATTCGCAGATGATCTTTCTGTCAACATTCAAATCATTATGAAAATGTTGAATGTGGGCCCCAGTATCAATCCCCCTCACTACCAAACACCAGGCCAGACACTGAGCTGTCACACGTCACTATCCCTGGCAGTTTGGTGAATCTTCTGCCCATCTAAGAGGCTTCTCTTCCAGCCTATACTTCCAATACAGTCTATTTAAAAGCTTGATATGTCCAAATTAATATGAGAACATGCTTACACAGCACGGAACAGAACTTTTCTTGACAACATCTCTTGTATCAGTTACACAAGTTAAATAAAAGACTTCCGTTTCTGAAATGGTCTAGCTGCTGTTTTTACAATATTGATACTCCTTTAAGATAGGAACTTATCTTTGAGATACAGGAAAAAAAGCAAAGTTCCTCCCTCATGTTTACAATTTTCATTCCTCCAACAGAGCACAGAAGTTTTCACACCGCAAGTGAAACTTTATCCAGTGAGTTGTCTTATAGTATAGTCAGAAAGGTCCACTTCCTACTGAATTTCTGCTCTTCTTGCTAAATGTCTGCAGTATGATGCTAAACACAGAGGCAACAATAATGTTGAGGTTATACATATTCAGTTTATGGGAATTTTTAAATTGCAATGAAATGCTCAGGATTTTAAGCACAACCGACCAGTACAGTTGCAGATAGGCTAATAGAGCATTTTTGTCACTTTATGATCTTTCTATTCTCTTAATGTAAACAATCCCTCTGCAAAGAAATGAAAAGAAAAGAACAGAAAGGAAGAGAAGAGAAGGGAAGAGAAGAGAGGAGGAAAGGAGAGAGGAGAGGAGAGGAGAGGAGAGGAGAGGAGAGGAGAGGAGAGAAGAGAAGAGAAGAGAAGAGAAGAGAAGAGAAGAGA